ACTATAATTGAATGTACAGACAATATAATAGAAAATGCCAGTGAGCAAAGGTAATAGATTACTTACAGGAAAAGAAATCTAAATGATTAATAAACATTTTTTTAACATGTTCAGCCTCTCTAATTAGAGAAATGCAAATATAAAGCAAGCATGTTGACACTATTTTTTTCATTCTTTGGGTAGATAAGCACGCTTGTAACCCAACTATATCTATATTGAGTGGAGGTGCTGGGAAATGAGCCCTATTATTACTGTTGGAATTGTAACGTACTCCCTCCAGCCTTTTGCAAAAGTTTAAAATACATTTATTTATTCTTTTTAAAAATATGTTTTAATTGATTTTAGAGAGAAAAGAAGGGAGAGCATCGATAAGCTGCCTCCTGTATTGGGCATCCAGCCCACAACCTGGGCATCAAACAGGCGATCTTTTGGTGCGTGAGACAACACTAACCAACTGAGCCATACTAGTCAGGGAAATATATTTGTCCTTTTACCCAGTAATACCTGTGAAACAAATGAAGCTGCTAATATATATAGATATTATTCATTGGTATTTTTTACAGTTGTATTGGCAAAAGAGTGGAAACAGCTTGAATGTCCATTAGTATAGGAATGATAGGACTATGTTAAGTGAGTTTACTTGAAATATCCGTCTAGTATCAAAAAGAATGATTGCATTTAACTCACTTAAAGAGATATCCGTAACATTAATTGAAATATAAGTTGTAGGGAAATAGAATCTCATTTCTGTTTTGTTTTGTTTTTTATCCTTACCCGAGGACATTTTTCTATTTATCCTCAGATAGAGCGGGAGGGGGGGAGAGAGAGAGAAATGTCGATGTAAGAAAGACACGTCGAGTGGCTGCCACTGCATGACCCCAACTGGGGCTGGGGAAAAACTGCAACCAAAGTACGTGCCCTTAGCAGGAACTGAACCCAGGACTCCCTGGTCCGAGGGCTGATGCTCTAACCGCTGAGCCAAATCGGCCAGGGTGTTTTTATTGTTTTTTTTTTCTTATAACATAGGCTATATGATCCCATTTTTTTCTTTATTGATATTAGAGAGAGAGGAAGGGAGAGGGAAAGAAAGAGGTAGAAACATCGAGGAGAGAGAACATCAATTGGCTGCCTCTTGCATGCCCCCCACTGGGAATTTGACCCACAACCTGGGCATGTGCCATGACTGGGAATAGAATCAGCAACCTCTTGGTGCATTGGTCGATGCTCAACCACTGAGCCACACCAGCTGGGCTAATCTCAATTTCTATTAAGAAAACAAAAACATACATACATGACAATAATTTGTGGGTAATTGTGCTTATGTATGTTTGTACTCTCATGGAGAAAGATGCGGAAGATGTATTATTAACATTAATAGATAGGTAGGATGAGAATAAGACTGACCAAAAGAGAAGAAAATTATTTCACTTTTTAAAATACTATTATTTATTTATTTATTTATTTAATTCTCACCTGAGGACATTTCTGAACTTATCTTCAGATAGAGGGGAAAGGAAAGAGGGAAGAAGAGAGAGAAAGAGAGAAACATCGATGTGAGAGAGACACATCGAGTGGTTGCCACCCACAGGGCACCAGCCAGGGCTGGGGCCAAACTGCAACCGAGGTATGTACCCTTAGTGGAAACTGAACCCGGGACTCTCTGGTCCATGGCCTGACACTCTAACCGCTGAGCCAAACCGGCCGGGGCTAAAATACTATTCTTGAGGACTTCTGGTCAAGATGGTGGTGGTAGGTAAACACAGTACTCGCCTCCTTCCACAACCACGTCAAATTATAACTAAACTACAGAAAAACTAAACATTCAGAAACACCTGAAATCAAGCTGAATGGAAGTCCTGCAATTACAAAAATAAAGAAGGAGCCACATCCAGACTGGAAGGAAAGGTAGAGGCTCAGAAGGGCTGGTCCCACACCCACCTGGGGTGGATAAAAATCAGGGGCGATACCTCAGCTGTGAGTGTCCTCTCTGAGGAGCAAGGGGTCACAGTCCCACACCAGCCGCAGCCCCCTCTCCCCCCAGCTTAGGGTTCCAGTACTGGGAAGAGAAGACTCCATAACTTTTGGCTATAAACCCAGCAAGAATTTAGGCTGAGAGAGGCTAAGGCTTCTGGTGTACCAGGCATTTCTTAAAGGGTCTGCACGTGAGCTTGCTTAGACTTGCTCCCTCTGGGCTCCAGCTTAGTGGACACAGTTTGAAAATGCACCAGAGACATACTGTGAAGCACTGAGTTTTTTGGCATGGGGGTGAGAGCTGGAAGAGCAGCTTTCCCTTAGACATGATATCAGAAGGCTGTTGTTCCTTTGGTGAGCCCTTCCCCCACGGGATTGGCAGATGGGTGCCATATCTGGGACTCTAACAATCTGTCTTACACTGTTTGCCCCACCCTGGTGATATCCTGAGGCCCTGCCCCACTCAACATTCAGGCCCACCCAAGCTGTTTCCAGTGGCGTTACCTTAAGAGTGGCCTGTCTGAGCTCCTGCTTTGGATTTTCATATAATCTCTCAAACAAGCGACAGCTGGCCTCAGCGAGCTCTATACCTCTTGATAAGTAGCCCTAAGCTTGGCACTCATAGCAGCAGGCTTTGGTTCACAGCTTGGCCTTGCCTGAGCACCTTCAAGCTCAGCACAAGAAGCAGCCAACTGAAAATAGCTTTGTAGCTTATGCCTGGTTACCCCAGGTAGAATACAGGCAGTAGCTGACCTTGGCCTGTGTCTTTCAGTATAGCTCCATTGAAGCTCCACCACCTAACCACCTCCACAAGTGACACAGGAGTGGACTCAGTGGGTACCAGAGCCCTCCTGAAGTAAGTTTTGCTCTGTGTGGTGGGTCTCTGCACAGCTGATCTTCCAAGGTGGTCAGTGGCCACAGCCAGTTCTTACAGCTGATCAGCTTGGGTAAATCCCTTTATTGATGCACCAACAGCAGTCAAGATTCAATTACAACAAAAGGGTGTATAGTCCACACGAGGGGTGTACCTCAAGGGCACAGCTTGGGTGATCAGGGAGGCTGTGCCACTGGATCATATAGGATACCTACTACAAATGGCCACCCTACCAAGCCTAGGAGACATAACAACTCTACCTAATATATAGAAACAAACACAGGGAAGCAGCCAAAATGAGGAGACAAACATGTCCCAAATGAGAAAAACAACAAAACTCCAGGAAAAGAACTAAACAAAACAGTCTAACAGATGTAGAGTTCAAACACTGGTTATAAGGATGCTCAATGAACTTAATGAGGGCCTCAAGAGCATAAAAAAGGACCAGTCAGAAATGAAGGAGGCACTAGCTCAAAGAATAATTTATAGGGAATCAATAGAAGAGTAGGTGAAGTCAAGAAGCAAACCATCGATTTGGAATATAAGGAAGCAAAAAACACCCAGTGACAACAGCAAAAAGAATAAAGAATAAAAAAACAAAAGGATAGTGTATGGCGCTTCTGGGACAAGTTGAAGTGTAGCACATTCGCATCATGGAGGTGCCCACTGAAGGAAAAGAGAGAGCAAGAAATTGAAAACCTATTTGAAAAAATGACTGAAAATATTCCTAACTTGGTTGAAGGGAACAGACATACACATCCAGTCCCAAACAACATGGATGAACCCAAAGAAGCCCACAAGACACATTCATAATTAAAATGCGAAAGGTTAAAGACCGAGAACCTTAAAAGAAAGAGAAAAGCATTTAGTTACCTACAAGGGAGCTCCCTTAAGACTGTCAGCTGATTTCTCAAAAGAAACTCTGCAGGTCAGAAGGGAGTGGCACAAAATATTCAAAGTGATGAAAAGCAGGGACCTACAACCAAGATTGTTCTATCCTGGAGAAAGATCATTTAGAATTGATGGACATATAAAGAATTTCCCGATAAGAAGAAGCTAAAGGAGTTCATCACCACCAGACCAGTATTATATGAAATGTTGAAGGGTCTTGGAAAAGGTCATAAATATGAACAATAAAATGGCCATAAATACGTACCTATCAGCAATTGAATCTACAAACCAAATGAACTAGAACAAACAGACTCATAGATACAAAAAACTTTTTGTTGGTTGCCTCATGGTAGGGGGGTAGGGGAAATGGGTGAAAAAAGTGAAGGGATTAAGAAGTACAAAATGGCCCAGCTGGTGTGGCTCAATGGATTGAGTGTCATCCCATGGGCTGAGAGGTCCTGGTTTGATTCTTGGTCAGGACACATGCCTGGGTTGTGGGCTCGATCCCCAGTAGAGGGCCGATTGATGTTTCTATCTGCCCCTCCCTTCCACTCTCTAAAAAAAAAAAACAATAAAAGGATATTTTTTTAAAAAAAGTAATACAAATTCGTTAGTAGACTGATGAACGAAAGGGGAAGAGGGACTTGGGGGTGGGAATGATAAATCAAAGAACTTATGTACGTATATGCATAACCAATGGACATAGACAATAGTGTGAGTAAGGCAGGAAAAGGGGGCAGGAACGGGAAGGAAGGGGACCAATGGGGGAGAAAAATGGGGACAGCTATAATACTTTCAGCAACAAAGATGTGAAAAAGAGAGATAATACTTACCTCCCATGGTTATTGGGGGGAAAGTAAATAAAATATTATTCATTGTTTCATTGGTTGCAATTGAACAATTTTTTTTTTCCTTTTGGAGGTGGCTAGGTATTAAGAAATATAAGCTGTCATTTTCCCAAGTTTTCTCTTTAGAAACGTTTTTAGCAGTCTAGAAGAGTTAATAGCAATTCTTTCTTTTCCTGGTCTTTTCAGGAAATCTTTTTTGGGGAAGTTTAGTCCCAGTTCTCTGGGCATCACATACTACTCTTGAAACAGACAACCTTTCTATCCAATGAGAGAATAGTTTAGTTGAAACTATTGGAGAAATACATTGTGAAAATCTGTCCCTGAGGAGTCAGTCAATGACCAGATTTTGATTTTTAATAGTTCATGTTTTATCCAGACAGCTAAAATTCTTATGTTTTGTTTTTCTTTCCTAATAGCTCCATCAGGGCACCGTCCCTGTTTCTTATACAGTAACAACAGTGGCACCACATGGGATTCCACTCTGCACAGGCCAGCACATCCCTGCATGCAATACACAACAGGTCCCAGGATGCTCTGTTGTTTTCAGTGGACAGCACCTCCCTGTCTGTAGTGTGCCTCCTCCAGTAAGTCTGTGCCTCCCTCTTTAGAATAGCTAAATGTGGAATATTAGTAAACAATTTAAGAGATTGCTTTCTGTAGCTTTTCACTTCCACCTAAAAAAGGTTATTTTATTGTAACGGCAATCTCAATAGCTTTGTTATAATAACAGTTTAATGAAATTAGCTTTAAAATTTTATTTTTACATTAAATTGTACTAAAGGTCAAAGCATGTTCCTTCATATAATCAGCACAGTTTATCATTAAATCTTAATTTATGTTGGCCTTGGAGTATTAACATAGGATATTGGACTAGTTAGTGATAAAGTCTAGTTAGTGATCATTGGTAATAGTCTCAACACTTACTGCATTTTAACAAGCACTTTGAGTACTTGGTCTCTTCATTCCTTGCTATAAGAAGCCTGTGATGAAAATGATATCCCCATTTTCTATAATGAAATGAAAATGACTTGCTTAATGTCATGGAGACAGTTAGTATGAGAGAACAGGGATTCACACCCACTTCTTTCTGCTTCTTAAACTTAATATCTACCAACTCACCTGCACCCCACCCCTGTCCACTAGATCAGCCTCTCTGTTTCACAAATGAGGTTGCTGAAATCCAAGGGATTAAAATGACTTGTCTAAGGTCAATTATGTTGTCAAAGTAAAGCACTTTGGTAAATCTATTAATATAACTCTAATACCTTTGTTTGAATGTGAGATTTAAACAAACACACGCATGTACAAATGCCAACCAAATTTAACAGATTAATTTGCCCAAGCTTGATTTCCCAGTAGTAGATTATGGAACCAGTGTGCTAAATTGGCAGACTTAAAATACTGAGAGATCATAAATCAATTAGTTGTGAATTGGGCTCCTATAAATACCAAAATCTTAGAAATAAAAAATTTCTGTAAGTTTACACAAACTTCTTGGAAAACAGTGTCTGCTACATCTTAAACCAAGTAGAGAAAGATTACTTTCCTTCTTTTCATAGTTGCTAATAAGGCTAAAGTAAAAGTTAGGTGTTTTGACTGATTTGTAAGAGCTATATAAAATGTAGAATACTTACTAGTTACCATTATTTTAGTATTTCATTGTTAATATAAGTTATTAAAACATTTTGGTTTGATATAGGAGGGGATATGGCAATGACATTTTGCTTTCATGGTTTATTTATTTATTTATTTATTTATTTTTAATTATATATTCTGATACTTTCAACAAAAAATAACAATTTCTCTTACAGATGCTGCAAGCATGTTCAGTTCAGCACTTACCAGTACCATATGCTGCATTCCCTCCCCTTATTTCTAGCGATCCATTTCTTTTACATCCTCCTCACCTTTCTCCTCACCATCCTCCTCATTTGCCACCACCAGGCCAGTTTGTCCCTTTCCAAACCCAGCAGTCACGATCGGTAGGTATTTCTACTTTTATGTCTTTAATAGTCATAGAATGTTTAGACCTAAAAAGCAGATTAATTTAGTAGGTGTAAGTTGTTGCCATTTAAAAACTGTAACTTGGACATTCTTCTGATTCTTAAAAGAATTAAGGAATTCAAAGACATATAAATTAATATAGACAAATTAACCGAGAATTATTTTGGTTTCTTAAAATTTTCTAGTTATTTTATGTCATTTGTCTTATTTAAATGTGTTCCTTCATATCTGCAATCCTTCACTAAGTAAGTGTGAAGAAAAATTCAATTTCCTGTTTTTTCCTTTTATGTATTTCTAAAATGGAAAATGAAAATGTATAAAATTGTTTATACCTATTAGAATAATATTTATATTCATTTACACAAGTAAAGTACCCCTCTGAGCCTCAATTGATTTTCTTGAAAGACTGTTTTTTTAATGTGTTCTCATGAAAGGTAGATGAGGTAGTCTATTAACATAGTTAATTCTGTCCTGGGACTGGAATATAGCTGAGAGGCATATTATTTTAGGGGATGGAGGAGGTAAGCACTGTATAAATGGAAGGAAGGGCACAAGAAGAAGGCCTACTTGTTTTTTGTACAGGCTAAGTTGAACATCTGAACCATCAGGCGTTAAGAGACTAGGAGAGAGAACATATGGAAATAGTTCAAGTGGTAGATTTCAGCCCTGTGAAAGGAATCATGACAGTCTATTCTAACAAATCTTAACTATTCTTTACTGAGGGTTAATGCACTGGCTACTCTCCTGAAACTATAAAAGCCAATTATGACAGAAGTTTAGATTTCAGCACTTGTGATTTCTGTCAAGCATACATAAATTTCCAAATTAAAGTGTTAGTAATTATTTATATTTGAATAATGTGTTGCAATTCTCTGAATGCAGGAGGAAGTCAGACTAACATTTACGAATATGTTGAAAACATTGTCACAAAAATGTGTACCCAAATGATCGTAGCAGCATTATTCCTAATAGCCAAAATATGAAATAGTACAAAAGTCTATCAACTGGTGAATGAATAAACAAAGCATGATGTATCTGTACACTGGATTATTACTCAACCATAAAAAGGAGTGAAGTATTGATACACAGACTACAAGATCGATCAGCCTTGAAAACATTATGCTAAATGAAAGAAGCCAGATACAAGGGCCCCAGTATTACGTGACTCTGAATATATAAAAAGTCCAATATAGGCAAATCTATAGAAATGGAAGGTAGATTAGTGGTTGTCCAGGGCTTGGGGAGGTCTGGGGGAAATGGGTAGTGGACTGAGTACTAATAGGCATGGGATTTTGGTGAGGGGAAAGCAGGGAGAAATGTTCTGGAATTAGACAGTGGTGAATATATAAAAATGAATCGTACTGCTTATGGTGAATTTTACAGTATGTGAATTACATCTCAAGCTATTTTTAAAAACCCCACATGCTGTGTGCTTTGCATAGCACCGTGTGTTGTATGTGTTACTTGTACATTGACTCAGTGTTTACAACACACTTTTGAAATAGGCTATAAACATGTCAGTTCTACAGATGACAATATTGAGATTCAGATTAGGTGATTTATATAAGTCACATGGCTGATTAGTGACAGCACCAAGAGTCTCTCTAATACCAAAACCCGTAAACTTTCTTCTACAGCATAATGCCTACTGTATCTTATCCCATTTAGCCCTGGTTCTGATTTATGAATAAATGTATGCCATGTTCAATTTCAATTTTATAAACATTGGAAGTACATTAGTTTGCTTTCCTCCCCGCTCCTCAGCCTCTGCAAAGGATAGAAAATGAAGTGGAACTCTTAGGAGAACATCTTCCAGTAGGAGGTTTTACTTACCCTCCATCAGCCCATCCCCCAACGTTACCTCCATCAGCTCCTTTGCAGTTCTTAACACATGATCCTTTGCATCAAGAGGTGTCCTTTGGAGTAGTAAGTTTTCATTCAATGTTATTAATTCATTATTTGCTTTGATAATTTGTTTTGAATTCAGTTTCATTGTAACTCTGCATGTTCAGAAGTTTAAATGTATTGTTGAAATCATTGGGTTGGAGACTTGTATTCAGACATATACCTATGTTTTAAACTAGGCATTGCGTCTGTGTGAACATTTAAGATATATTAAATACCACTTGAACGGTGAAGAACTTTCTAGGTTTCGTGTGTGTGTGTGTGTGTATGTGTGTGTGTTTAGAGACTTTGATAGATTAAATATTTATAAATGTGGGATGATCTTAAATCGTTTCAACATTTTCCCCTACAGCCTTATCCTCCATTTATGCCTCGGAGGCTCACAGGACGTAGTAGATATCGATCCCAGCAGCCAATACCACCTCCCCCTTATCATCCCAGCTTACTACCATATGTGTTGTAAGTTGTTTCTTATTTTAATGAGTTCTAAATTTTGACATTCTTGAAATTCTCTTTTCTTTATGAATATCTTCTATATGGTATATAATTTAGAGTGTGTTGTTACATATTTGTTTTTATTTACTATTAAGGAGTTGGGGTATGGGACCATTTAAGGGCAAAACAAAGAGAAGAGTCAAAGGCGGGGACATGTGGAAAAAGAAATTTGTGAGCCAGAAAATAGGTTTACCAAATCTAAAGATAGAAAAGTTTAAAATTTTTGTTACTGTTACTACTGGCATCACTTGCCAACTTTTTTGATCATCCAGCTTTTGATGCTGCTGCTTCTCTCAAGGGAAGAGAGAAAGAGAAGTTATTTCTGTGCCTTAGAAATACTCAAGGCCCTGGCTGGGTAGCTTGGTTGGTTAGAGCGTTGTCCTAATACACAAAGGTTGCAGGTTCAGTCCCCGGTCAGGGCACATACAAGAAGCAACCAATAAATGTCTAAATGGCCCTGGCCGGTTTGGCTCAGCGGTAGAGTGTCTGCCCAAGGACCAATGAGTCATGGGTTTGATTCCAGCCAAGGGCATGTGCCTTGGTTGTGGTTTGTCCCCGGCCATGGTCAGGGTCATGTGGGAGGCAACCAGTTGATGTGTCCCTCTCACGTTGATATTTCTCTCTCCCTTTCTCTCCCTCCCACTCTATCTGAAGATAAGTAGAAAATTATCCTCGGGTGGGGATTAAAAAATAATAATAATAAATAAAATGCATAAATGAGTGGAATAAGTCAATGTTTAAAAAAACAAGAAATACTCTGTTAGAATTTAAGTTGGTAACAAAAGCACTGTGGGTTTAAACGTAATAGTACTTTATTTCTCTCTCATATAATGAAGTCTAGAAGTAGGCAATTCCGATGTGGTTTGTTCAGCCCCATGACTCTGAGGAATTGTTCTGCCATCCTATGGCTTCCTCTACATGATCTAAAATGGCTCCTTCGCTTCTAGCTATCATGTTTGCTTTTCAGCCAGTAAAAATGCAAATGAATCTCTCTTGCCTACCTGCCTCCTCTTAGGGATTTGTCCTAGAAGTTGCATGTATTACACCTGCCAAATCCCATTGGCCTGAATTTAGTCTTATGTCTGTAACTACCTGCTAGGAAAGGTAGGAAATATTGTCTTTATAAGGTCTTGTGCCTATATTACACTGTTTTGATCATGTAGCTCTGTTGTAGTCTTAAATCAGGTAAGTCTCCCAACTTAGTTCTTAAAATTATTTTAAACCCTTTGTGTGGGCCATATAAATTTTAAAATCAGCAAATTAGTTTCTAGTTTTAAAAAACTGAGGTTTTGGTTGAAATCTATAGATGAATTTTGGGAGAAAATTAACATCTTAATATTGCCCAACCAGAGTGGCTCGGTGGTTGAGCATCGACCCATGCAGCAGGAGGTTGTTGGTTCAATTCCCAGTCAGGGCACATGCCCAGGTTGTGCGCCAAATCCCCAGTGGGGGGCAAGCAGAAGGCGGCTAGTCGATGTTCTCTCTCTCTCATTGATGTTTCTATCTCTCTCTCCCTCTCTTTTCCTCTCTCTCTAAAATCAATTTTAAAAAATTAACCTATTAATATTGACTGGTCTAGTCAACTTACACAGTGTATTTCTTTGTTCCTTTTAAGTTTATCCTAGCAGTATTTTTGCAGTTTTTATTATGTAGGTCTTGCATATGTTTTGTTAAATTCATTCCTAATATTTCATGCCATTGTGAATATTTTTTAAGTGTCAGTTGTTGAAGGATTGCCAATGATTAACCCTGACCATTTTTCTCTGTAGCACTGGCCCTGTTCTTCCTGTTCATTGAAGTAATATAGTAATGTATCAATTCTAGTGTTGGTTATTTTCATTGCAGATCAATGCTTCCAGTGCCACCTGCAGTAGGCCCAACTTTTAGCTTTGAATTGGATGTGGAAGATGGAGAAGTAGAAAATTACGAGGTTAGTAGGTGAACTTTGAAATAAGTTGGGGAGTATTATGTGCATAAAAAGAATTGTTCTACTCAACTCATTCATCTAATTAGACATTAGGTGAATCCTTTCAATATGCAAATATGTTTAAAAAAATGTTCAGCATCCTTAAGGATATTTTGTCATGTACCACACAGCTCTGATAATGAGACAAACTTTTGGTGCTCTAATAGAATTACATACAACTCTTGTGAGAAAATGTAAATGAGGAAGTAGTGAACTATGAATGGATGTTCTCAAAGATGTTGTGGAAGCCAGAAATGTTTGAGCTTGTTCTTGAAGGATGAGAAAACTTTTGTGCATAAGCTTGAGGCAGGAAAGTGCTGGATATTCTTGAGGAACTGCAGTCTGTGGCTAACATGAGATTTGATTGGAAAGCTCAACTAGTTGTCCTTGAGTGTCCTACTAGAGAATGGACAAAATTTTGAATATTGTGGGATGAAGGGGCCACTAAATTTTTTGATGTTAATGGCATCAGATCTCTACCTTTATGAGTCAGAACTCTGCTAGTAGCATGAAGGAATAGATGGGAGAGGTTAAGAAATTGGTGGTGGGGAAACATATTTAATAGGTCAGGCAATAAATTATAAAAACCATGCAAGTTCTGAACTATGGGAACTGCAAACAGAAAAGAGTACATCTTCAAAGACATTTTTAACACTCAAATCAACAGGAGTTTGAGTGAGAGGGTTGCGAAAGAAGATGCTATGTAAAACTGCAGTAGTCCACAAAGAAGGCAGAAGATGACACAGTAGGTCAAGTAGATGACATCATCTAGCTTAGACAACGCTGGTGTTATAGTATTTGAAGTTAGGAATAAGAGGGGCAGTTTAGGGATTGGAAGGCAGATTCATATTTGGATATGTTGAATGTGAGTGAGTGACTGTGACGGTTTTAATACTGCCAGCTATCTTTCTCACCCCAGCCTCACTTAGTTTCTATTTATACAGTATGAATACAGATGCTCCTTGGCTTATGATGGGGTTACGTCCTGATAAATTCATTGTAAGTTGAAAATACCATAAATTGAAATGTATTTAATCTACTGAACATCATAGCTTAGCCTAGCCGGTTTCTAATGAATGCATGTTGCTTTCGCACCATTGTTAAGTGGAAAACTCATAAGCCAAACCATCGTTAGTTGGGACATGTGTACTGGAACACTTTTTAAAATTTTTTTTAGGTGAATTGATCCTGGGGACATGGAGGAGAGATCACACACACAAACACAATTTTAAAGCACCTTTGTTTTATTTTTTAAATGCATGTGGAAGAGATCAGCCCAAATGCTATATTCTTCTATAGTTTTCAAAATGCCATTATACCACTTTCATTCTGCATATATAATCACACTGCAGTGTCCTTTGGCTTCCATTTTCAGATTTCTTGAGAGAGAAAGAGGTTTAATAATTTCCTGATTCTGTTTCTAGAACACTGTTTATCTTAGTTTTGTGCAGAGCAGTAAGAAAAGGAGTTGGGGGGAAAAAAAAGAAAGAAAGTAAAGGAGTTGGGCCCTGGCCAGCATGGCTCAATGGTTAGGGCTTCGGTCTGCGTGCCAATGGGACTCAGGTTCCCAGTCCAAGGGCACATTACCTGGGTTGCAGGTTTGATCCCCAGCCCCGTTTGGGCATGTGTGGGAGACAACCAGTTGATGTCTCTCACATCGATGTTTCTTTCTCTCTTTCTCCCCCACCTCCTGCCATCTCCCTCTCCCCTCCCTGCTTCCTCTCCTTTCCCTCTTCCCACTTCCACTCTCTAAAAAAAATCAATGAAAAAATATCTTCACGTAAGCATTATCAACAACAACAAAAAAAGGAGTTGGTTATCTGTACTAAAATTAAGTCTTATGCTGCTAAAAGGACAGCTCTCTGTTAAACAGGTTATATACATACCCATGGAAAAAACCAGTGATACTATCCCAGTGTAAGAAAAATAGTTTGTATTTGGCATCGGAATCCCTTTCTAAACTGTATTTTGGGTTGAATATGTTTGACCTTCTGCAAAGTTATACTTTAATTCAATCAAGAAATCTTGCTTGCTTTTCTGCTTTTATCTCATAGTGTGCACACCTACAGTACTCTAGTCCAGGGTACTCACCATTTTTTTAGTCTATTCTATACATTCTTGACTATGTGCTTTTACTCCCCTTGATTCTTCTGCCTAATTACTTTTTCTCTACATTTTGAAACAGCCAAACTACCTCTATGAAAGGCATTTCTAGTCCCTTATCAGATCTAAATGTTTCTCTCCCTTTTTGTTCTTATAAAACCATACATAATAATTATGTCCTGCCTTCAGTTGTCTTGCCCACTGGGTCATATAAACTTGATTATCATTACATTCTCCGTTCAGTAAGGGCTTAATAAACATATTATATTAAACATAATTGTCATATTTGTGTTAGTTCACCTAAGTGTCCTATAGTATATACATACAATAGGCGTGTAACAGATATAACTATATCATACATTTAATCTAAATTTTATATGCTAATTGTAATCAGCATCAATTAAATTTAACAATGTATCCTAGGATTTAGAAGGACTTAGGGGCATTTATGTTCACAATAGGGGAGCGGTTTATTTTAGGTGACCCAATTCTCCAAATGAAACTGTACCAAAAGCAGTATTGTGGTATTATCGTATTAAAACAACTATCACAGCATTAGTTACTGAGATTTTTTTGGAGAAATTAATTGTTCCTCTCATTGTCTGTCATTATTTCTTTCTTACCCATTCTCTTAACCCTGTGACAGCCTATAAAGGGGAAAGCAGCACACAAAAAGCTGCCCAATTTTAGGATAAAGCAAGTGAATAAATTAGAGCCATTGAAAACTGGGAGAAGCCCTGGCCGGTTTGGCTCAGCCGTTAGAGCATCAGCCTACGGTCCAGAGAGACCCAGGTTTGGTTCCTGCTGAGGGCACGTACCTCGGGAGCAGTTTGTCCCCAGCCCTGGTTAGGTCGTGTGGGAGGCGGCCACTTGATGTGTCCCTTTCACGTCGATGGTTCTCTCTCACTGTCTCTCCCTCCCACTCTATCTGAACAAAAAATGGAAAAATGTCCTTGGGTGAGGATAAAAAAAAAAAAACTGGGAGGAAGGAGGTACTTGTATAAAATCAGTAAGCATAATAGCTGCAATATATTGAAACATCAACTATGCTAAAATTCATGAATTCATAGTGATACTTTAAAAAACCTGTGGTCTTATTCATTCTGTACTTTATCTGTACATTATACTACTGAATACAATTTTGTATGAGACAACTGGTCAGTATAGAAGTATTTTATCTAATAAGTGAAGAAAGAATGATAGAATTATAATATTACCATTTTGCCATCTTTAATGAATTAATGGATTCTAGGCAGTGTTCCATTAGTGGCTGCTAACATAACATCTAGGCTTGATAAGCTATGATCGAAATACTCAAATCCACCAATTTATAGAAAATACAGGGGACAAGGAAACTCACGCCAGGGTGGGAGGTTCAGTCAACAAAATTCAGACTGGAAATTTCTACAGACCAGTGACCTGTTTTCTTTAATAAATATAATTTTTTTTTAAAAAAAGTACTTGAGACATATCAAGCAGTGGTAATAGATGGATTTATTTGGATCCTGATTTTAATAAACTTTTTTTTTTTAATCCTCACCTGAGGACATTTTTCCATTTTTTGTTCAGATAGAGTGGGAGGGAGAGAGAGAGGAACAGAGAGAGAGAAACATTGACATAAAAGGGACACATCAAGTGGCTGCCACCTGCACGACCAGGGCCAGGAACAAATTGCAACTGAGGTACGCACCCCTAGCGGGAACCGAACCCGCGTCTCTCTGGACCGCAGGCCAATGCTCTAACCGCTGAGCCAAACTGGCCAGGGCAATAAACTATTCTTAAAAGTGTTTTGAGCCCTGGCTGGTTTGGCTGAGCAGTTAGAGCATCGGCCTATGGACCAATGAGTCACAGGTTCATTTCTGGCCAGGGGCAGTACCTCAGTTGCAATTCATCTCCGTCCCAGGGCATGTGGGAGGCAACTTGTCTATGTGTCCTCATATTGATGTTTCTTTCTCCCTCTCCCACTCCCTCCCTCCCACTTTGAAGATAAATAGGAAAATATTCTCTGGTGAGGATTAAAAAGAAAAGTGTTTTGAAAGTAATTGAAACAATCAGACATTTGACATTCCAGTATTACTAATTTTTTAGGTGTAATGATGATGATGTGGTTTTATTCTTTTAAAAAGTCTTATTTTTTTAGAGAGGTGGTTTTCAACCTGGGGATAGTTTTATCCCCAAGAGTATATTTAGCAACATCTGGAAACATTTCTGATACAACTGAGTGTGTGGTGAGGTGGGTGTTACTGGCATTTAGCAGAGATGCTGCTAATCATCCTTCAGTGCACAGAACAGCCCCCCACAATAAAAGTTTATCCAGCCCAAAATGTCAGAAGTGCTAAAGTTGACAGACTGTTGCAAAGATACACACAGAACTATTTTATTAATGAAATACCATGTTTTAGCTTTGTTTGAACATCTGGTATTTGAAGTAGACATTAATAGGTGAAATAAAATTAGCATGAATTATTGAGCCTGGGTCATGGGCATATGGAATTTTATACTGTATCTCTTCTTTTGTATGTATTTAAAATTTTCCACAATAAAAGTAGTTTTTAAAAAAATTACTTCAGTAAAGTTAAAATATGTCTCCTCTTTCATCAACAGGCCCTTTTAAACCTGGCAGAGCGACTAGGAGAGGCTAAGCCACGAGGACTGACTAAAGCAGATATTGAACAACTTCCTTCTTATCGGTTCAATCCTAACAACCACCAGTCAGAACAGACTTTGTAAGTACATTTTTCTGACATCACTGTGTGTTAAATTTCCTTTTCTACTTTTATGAAATAAAAGCTTGAGAATCACAGATAACTTGATAAAGATAAGTAATGTCTATTTCATACTCGAGGCCTATGTTGTCTAGTTAGGTAGCAGCTAGTCACATGGCGCTGTTTAAATTAAAAGTTAAATTTCTTAGTAGCACTAGCTAGTGATGCTGTATTGGAAGATGTAGAACATTTCTGTCACTTTAGAAAGTTCTGTACTACAGTGCTGTTCTGGATTTCTAGGTTGCCTGGAAATTTTATGGTTTTTAATTCAAACTATAATATATTTATACATGATTGAAAAGTCTCATACATGTAAAGTTTGAGGTTTTTACCTAAAGGTTCTGCTTATTATAGTATCTTCTTTATAGCAACTCTGCTGAGATAAAATTCACATTTATAGTGGTAGTATATTCAGAGTTTCGCAATCATCTTCACCCCCAAAAAAGATACTCCTTACCCATTAGTAGCCACTCCCCATTTTTCTCCAACCCTCTTCACCCTGGCACAAACCCAAACTACTTTTCTTTTATCTCTACAGATTTGCCTATTCTGGATATTTCACTTAAATAGAATTTTATAATGTATGGTCTTTTGAGTCTTTCTTCTTTACTTAGCTTGTGTTAAAGGCTTATCACATCATAACTTGTATCACTACTTTATTTCTTTTTATAGCCAAATATTTGATTGAATGAATATATCAGATACTGTTTATTTTTTCCTCAATTGATGGACATTTGGGTTGTTCCCACATGTTGGCCAGTATTAATAATACTGCTGTGAACATTTATGGACAGATTTTCCTTGCTCTGAAAGTAGAGCGTTCTATAAGCTGAAATGACATAATGTGAAGAAGCAAACTTTTATGGAAAGTTTTTGAGCATTCACAGTTCAAAAAAAATAACCTACCAGGTTACAATGAAAAACACATAAAACCTAACATAACACTAATATACAGTGAAAGCAAGAATGATATGATAAATACACAGCCTGTATAAAAAAGAGATGATGTACATACAGTGTAGTTTAACTTACCAGAATTGGAAAGACTGAGAGCACACAGAAACTGGCTGAGAGGTGGTGCTGGTGGTGTGTTGGGCTGAGTCATCAGAGGGAGGGGAGGTAGGAGGTATAGGAAACGGGCTTGTGTAGGAGAGGGGAAGAAGGTTATCTGTTAACATGTCATTGTTGTCTGATTTCATCATGGGAGGTAGGTCACTGACATCTTCACCTTCTATGTTACCTGCCTCAATGTCGAGGTCAGGGTTTGTCATCTGCTGTGTGATTTTTCTATTATATGGTTTTTTTGTAGGCACTCATTCTGCAGACCTGCCCTAAATCTAGGTGCACTTTCAGTGTTAAAGTCATACTTTTTTGCAATCATTGCAGCACTGTCAATTGTATTGGAAATATCACACAAGTGCTTATGATTGTCTATCTTGATTCTGGCCATTCTAGTGGGGGCGAAGTGGTATCTCATTGATGTTTCGATTTTCATTTCCCAGATGGCTGATGATTTTGAGCTCTTATTGTACTTTATTGGCTGTTTATATATCTTCTTTGGGAAAATGTCTGTTCACATCCGTTGTCCATTTTTAAATTGGGTTTTTAATTTTTTGAGTTGTAGAAGTTATTTATATATTATACAAACAAATCCCTTATTGATTTTCAAAACAATGAGTTTTTTTTTTTTTAACTCACTTGAAGATATGTGTATTGATTTTAGAGAGAGAGGAATGGAGAGAAGAGAGAAAAATCACCCTTATGTGCCTCAACCAAGGATCGAACTTGCACCCTAGATAATGTGCCCTGACCAGGGATCGAGCCTGCAACCTTTCATTCATTCATTCATTCATTCATTCATTCATTTTAATATGTTTTTCTTGATTTTTTTTTTTTTTTTTAAAGAGAGAGAAAGTGAGAGAGAGGTAAAACATTGATGTGAGAGAGAAACATCCATAAGCTGCCTCCTGCACTCCCCCAACTGAAGATCAAGCCTGAAACCTGGGCATGTGCCCTGACCGGGAATTGAATTGGGACCTCTCAGTCCATGGGATGATACTCAATCCACTGAGCCACACTAGCCGGGCATACTCGACCTTTTAGTATCCAGGATGACACTCCAACCAGCTGAGCCACCTGGCCAGGGCTCTTTGCACTTTCTTTTTTTTTGAAATTTTTATTAGTTTATTTTTGTTACAGATGTTTCTCCACCGCCCCCATATGTCCTCCTCCCTATCCCCCCCCCCATTGCACTTTCTTGATGGTGTCTTTTGAAGCACAATTTAAGTAAATTATTTGATGAAGTGCCATTTATCTTTCTTTTTTTGTTGTTTCTTATGCTTTTTCGGTGTCTACCCAAAGAAATCATTGCCGATTTTGAAGTCACAAAGATTTACTCCTATGTTGTCTTCTGAGAGTCTAATAATTTTCAGCTTTTGCTCCATTTTTTTTTTTTTTTAGTTAATTGTATATTTGTGAGGTAGGGGTCCAACTTCATTTTTTTTACATATGGCTGTTCAGTCATTCTAGCACCTCTTTGTTGACTGTTATGGTACCTTCAGTATTAAGACTGGCTTGGATGTTAATCCAGAGATTTTCTTAATGATCTCTCAGTAAAGAAAACCATTTTTACTAAATGTTTTAACATCATGATTTTTTTAAGCAGAAAATAAATTTATTGGCAAAATATTAATTTCTTACGGGATTTTTAGGGAGACTGGAGATTCAGTTTTGCAATATGAGGGAAACGAAGGAATCTGTAGTCAGAACAAAAACCCAGGGAACATCCACCACTCAGTGAGGCCCAGTCAATGAGGATGCTGACACAGCCGCCATAAGCCCTAGTACTGGCACCGCTGCCACTGCCACGGAGAACCTGTGCTGTAGTCACCTGACCCTGCTGCTCTGGATCCACATCTCGAGGCGTGATCCACCTTGCCAAGGTCATGGGCTCCTTGCTCTAGTTATAAAAGAGGCTGGAAAGATGAGTCTGGCCTTTCCAGCTTCTATGGTGACAGCTAGGCTCCACATTCTACCAAACCTCATACTCGAGGGAATTCTCTCCAGTGTCCTCTCCCACTGTGCTCCTCCTCTCTCTGCACTCCTGCCACTCGGCATCTTTTTTGTCCCTCCAGCATGCAGGTCCATCACCTCTTCATCATCAGAGCAACTTCATCTTTAAAATTAGCTTTGATGTGAAGCATCTGCAAAGGATTCTGGAGTCACACATCCAGTTAGGGCAGAGCTGGAAGATGGCCCATCTCTCCTGATGTACAATCTCAGCCTTCCTCAATCTGTTTCACACTCATCAGTCCCCAACATCATGATTTTTAAAATTATTTTGTCTTAACATTTAAATGACATTATGATAAATGAGATGGTAAGTGGTTTTGGGGGCTGCAGTAAAAACAAAATAGAAAACCACTTGGTTTTATGGTTAAATGATCTTTTTGCTTTTTCTAGGTGTGTAGTATGCATGTGTGATTTTGAGTCAAGGCAGCTACTTAGAGTTTTACCCTGTAACCACGAGTTCCATGCCAAGTGTGTCGACAAATGGCTTAAGGTAAAGAGATGACATCTGAGAAGAAAATAACATTGAATTTTCTTTTTCATTGAACATGGTTTCGTGTATAGCAAGTCCATGGTTGGTTGAGGGTGGGTAAGGGGGTAAAATTCAAATAGAATTCAGTATGATTTCTGAAAATGAAGTGAAAAGACCAGCAAAAATAACTATAATTATCAACGTGGGAGTGATTTTGTAAAACCTGAAAATGGGTTATCTGTCCTTGGTAATCATTATGTCCTAACTTTGTCACGATATCTAGGGGCAAGGCCTGGACTCATTAAGCCAATTTCCTCTAAGAGTTTGGAAAGGGAACCTCACTTGATCTCCTTTACATGGGAGAATAAACCTCTAGTGCTTTTAATTCGGACCCTTTTCTTTTTTGTAGATATGAAAATTTTAATAAAGTCCAAAGGACACAAATTAGTCAACTTTATGTTGTACGGGATTTTTTTTAAGAGTATTCTCATTAGGAAATAATAATTCTGGGTTAGATAACTTCACAGTTTGTTGAGAAAGACAGATGAACACAGATTAAGGGTACCCAGTTTAGCCCAAACTGAATCCTGAAGGCTAACAGTCTGAGCCTTTTAGAAAAAGCATTAAATATGCCCAGCCCTGACATGTGAGAACAGAGAATAATTAGAAAACCACAGTTCCATGTGGCTGATAGCTGTAGTATAAGAGGGAGAGTGGCAAGAGAAGAGACAGATGTTCAGAGATAGAACCAGTGACCAGCTTATTGTGAAGTGTAAGGGAGTTTGGATTTGATCTTGAAAGTGATGTGGAAGGACATGATTAAGATCATCTTTTAGAAAGATCACTGGTCACTGTTTAGAGAATTGACTACAAAAAATAATTTCTGAGAGACAGGCAGATGGAATAAGGATGTCTGAGCCAAATAGTGGCAGTTAAATGAAAAGAAAAGGACTGATTTGAGAGCTATCATGATAAACAAATGAAAGTATTTGGAAGGCAGCTATGCTCACCACTATACCACCAACGCCTTAAGAAATGAGAGGATTGATGAATACTGGGTTGTAGCAAGCAAGAAGCAGGTGATGCCTGTGTTGCTGGCTTTAGCAATTCAGCAAATGGTGGTGTCATTTGTTGAGATGGAGTTTTTTGTTTCTGTTTTTAATCCTCATCTGAGGATATTTTTCTATTTATCTTCAGATAGAGTGGGAGGGAGAGAAAGGGAGAGAGAAACATTGATGTGACAGGGACACATTGACTGGTTTCTTCCTGCATGACCCTGACCGGGGCCGGGGATGAACCATAACCAAGGTATGTGCCCTTGACCGGAATCGAACCTGCCACTTAGTGGTCCGCGGGCCGCCGCTCTACTGCTGAGCCAAACTGGCTCGGACCAGATAGAATTTTAAGCCAGTTAACTACATTTGTCTGACCTGGTGATGGATAATGTTGTCTATGTGGTGAAATTGACCTTTAAAAAAAAATCAATAAGACCAAAAAGTAAATCATAGGCTATTCAGTTTTTGAGGTTTAATGGGGTATTTTTTAAAAAGACAGAGGAAATGATTTCTTTGTACCCTCTTAAAAGAACAAAGAATGTAAAAACTATATGGAAGTAAAAAGAGTTCCATTCCTTTTAATATGTTTTATTGTGTAGGTCACAATTCAGAAACATTTTCTCTTTTGTGTTTTAGGCAAATCGTACTTGCCCAATTTGCCGAGCTGATGCTTCAGAAGTGCATCGGGATTCAGAATGACCAACCTAAGAGCACAAATTAGTTTGGGTGTTCCTCATCACATGTATATACGGACTATCCATTGAACTTAATCTGTGTGGCTTCCAGCCCTCCCTTTACCAAAAGGGTCAATGGACCTTTCTTTGCACTGTGTGACTTAATCAACTATAAAAGCTTACAATTAGTCTTCATAATTATGGGATTGTTATACTAACCGTGTGATTGGAACTCCAAAGACTTTTTCTTTAGCTTAATTTTGTGTGTGCACTAACATTCCCTGGTTTTTGTGTGATCATTCCGAGTGTTGCTGCAAGATTACAGTGGACGTGATCTTTTAGCATGTGCTTTTATAAAAAGTGGTAGCTCCAGATGATATAGCAATCTACCTTATATAGAGCCTTCAGAAACTGTGAGTGGAAATGAATGCAATGTATGACTGTTGGTGATAAATGTATCTTTGTGTGTGAGAGAGAGTGTGTAACTACTTGTGTGAGGGCATGGTAGCTAATGTGTGTATGAGATCCTATATACCAGCATGTACCAAGAATGTGTGTGTAGTTTTAATTATGCTGCAATGTATAATCTGGTGTGTTATTTAAACAGCACTAGTACTGTACACTGGTTTTTTTTCCCTTGTGTTTGCTGTTGCACACTGATTGCTAAGGGTGCATCAATTACAAGCATTGAATACTCCATCCCCTCCCCTCCCAATGAATGGAATGAGAAAAGCCTTCTTCCTTTGCTTCAGGCAGCTGTCACCTTCTCTTCGTTGGTGGTCCAAGTGGGTCACTTAAGAAAAAAAGTGTAACAGATTCTCACTCCATGAACCTGATTTTTTTATTCTGTTGTGAAAACTTTTTAAATCTCCAACTTGCTGTTTCCAAAAAGAAGGTGCAATATCATACATCATCAGTTAGCAATATTAGCATTTCAATCAGTGATTTGAATGTTGATACTTTCTTGTTTTTTTCCTTTACATTTCCAGTAAGTTTCTTACAGGAAGTATTTGTGATTTTTCTTTTAGTGTTTAGATTTGTAGTCTATTCTGAAAATATTTGAGTAATATATTTCTAAGAATACCACTGGTCCCATGAAGTCTCACTTCCTTGACTTCCACCAGAACAAAATCTGTTAGCTCTCAGCTCGATTTCTGGTATGTGTTCTATGTTCAAGCTCCCATAGGCAACTAAGTTGTTTTAAGAAAATTGTATTTCTGTTTGTGTTAATTCACCTGCTAAGCTCCAGTTCTGAAAGTTGTCTAGTTCTTCTCTCAGTAAATGTGCTTCTAATCAAAACCCTGATTTTCAGGATGGATCAAGTGCTGTGACAGCTCTAGTTCCTTAGACCTGATGTGCTTTGGTGTTTTATTGCTTTTCTTTTTATTTTGTTTGAATGAGAAAAATTTAATATAACAGGTGTCCAGAATACTTGCAGTATAAATGAAGATTTGATTTTTGTATAAAAAATAATGCTGTATAACAGGAATTGACCTTCATTTAGTTGATCTGAAATATTTCAATACATAGCAGTGTGGGTTTTTTTTTTTAATAGATTTATTGAGCATAATGCAGATTGTTTAAATTCAATTTTCCAGCAGTGTTTAGATTTCTCTCTCATTCTTTGTACATTCAACATTGTCTGCTTCTTCCCTGCAGTTGGTGTCATTGCTTTGCAGTAGCACAAGCTGCATAGTTCCAGTCAGGACTGTGATGATTTGCTGCCAGCCTCACTCAGCTTTCAGTTGGCTCTGTGTCGCTTTTCTCAGACAGTGTTGACTACTTATTACTGCCATGCTACTTGCCTTCCCTTGAAGTCTCTATAAGCTCATCACAGCTTAGAGTTCAGTAAAGTCAATTTACACAGAAGCACAATATTGCCCTTTTCCAGACACTGTTGCCTCTATCTATTCATACAGATAGAATTTTGCATACTTTCTGTTTGCCCTTATATTTGTCATTGCATCTTAAATACATCTAAACAGTGGCAAAATGCACATATTACTTTAAAATCATTAGGATATCCCCCACCTATTCCTGATGAATAAAAAGTTTGTTAAAGACCAAAATTATTGGCATAATAATCAGCTACATTACAAATCACGTATAGTTTAATCTTTTTTTAATTAAAAAATCATGTTTAAAATGGCAAAAGCCCATCTTATACATAGACTCTTTTATATAGCTGCAAAAAATTTATATCTGTACAGATCTAACGTAACACTACTACACTCAGTATTCATTTTATTGAAGCATGCAAGTAAAGCACTTTTTCTAATTTATATAGATACCTAATTAACAAGGCACATTGTACTAATGACTAGGAAAAGTAGCTCTTTCTTCCCTCTGACGATGAATTCTTGTCATAATATCCCTTTTCCAGTAAATTTTTGAGAGGCAGTTGGCAATATTTAGGAGGCAGTAGGGTTTATTGGTAAAATTCTGAATTGTTGCACTCTTGTGACTGATCTCTCTTTGGGAATGTCTTTTCTTTGCATGGGGCTCTTAGAGGTGTGTGCAGACTTGCTTATTAAGTGGTTAGTACATATTAGGAGTATACATGCATGTGTTCTGAACCAGCTCAGACTAGCCACAGTGAGCAGCTTTATGGCTAGCAAAGAGAAAGCGGGTGATTTGTGCCCAGCTGTTGTCACCTTGGGTGATGCACCAGATAGCAAGCAGATGTTGGTTTGTTGCCTTCTTCCTCTTCCCTCCTAAAACAATATTGGCTTTACCATCTTAACTCTGCTGGGGGTTTTGTTTGGGGGGTTTTGTTTGTTTCTTTTTTGCATGAATTCTCTTTGATTTCTCCTTTTCTTTCTTTTTGCTTTTTTTTTTTTTTTGCCAGCCACCCCCAAAACAGAACGAAATAAGTAAGTCAAGGCCTCCAGGTATCAAGATCTCACTAGGATTTTCTGTCCTGATTTTTTTTTTTTAAAGCAAAATCTGAAAAATGTGGAAGCATATTTACATTTTATACACTCTCTCGAATGTGATTTGTTAAGATTCTTAAATTTGGGCCTCTTAAATATTTTGAATGAGATCTGTAACTCACTTATGCAAATATTTTTTCACAAATGTCTTTAGGCCTTCATTAGGAACCAATTTTCCCCCTGTTGGTACATTGGGTTACCTCATTTTGCTGTTTGTTTCAGATTATGAAAGCTTACAGGGGTGTTTTTTGAATTATTTGCTGAGTCATTTCCTCAAATCATATTCCATTGTATCAGTTAACATAGTTTTAAATGTATGTATTATAAATATCTGTAACCAAATCATTTGAAGGCTTGATAAATTTTTAACAAAAGTTTGTACATTTTTTATGAAAGTTACTAGTAATGCTTTACTAAGTAGTGCAATGAATTTTTATTTTTAATCCCTGTGCCCAATTTTGGAGTTGAGAGGGTTGTTGGTAATAAATGTATGATGTACACTTAAGACATTTTGTTGTGTTTATGTTACTGTGTTAGGGAAGGGTAGAGGTTGTGTGTGCTTGGAAGGGTGTTGGGGATTCCAGCAGGAAGATAGGGCTGTTGAGCTATTTAGATTATAATTCAGATTTTGTTTCTGCATTTGTGTAAACACTTTATAAACACAAAGCAATTAGCATTATAACATGTGGTACATGATTATATAAAAAGGCCAAACAGACAGCTGAAATCAGCCACATATGTGGCATAAGCTTATTGAATAATAGAGAAACATAAGTAAGGTAACAATTTCTGTATATGTTAACCATAAGATGCAGGAAATAGGATTACAGTAGATTATTGGGGATATCTGACCATATTAGTGACAGCTTACATCCAACTTATCCACATAATAATGGAAAAAGGAGCTTCTGCTTGTCGTTTTCTATACATGTTTGTATAATTCCATTCCTTTGACTAAAAAAGGAAGAAAATAAAATCAATCTACTTATATACAGGGTGTCCCAAAAAAATGTATACAGGGTGTCTGTGGATTCTATTACATTTTGAAAATTAAATATATTTCAATAAACACTGGCTTTATTATTATTCTAAGTTGTGTATACATTGTTTTGGGACATTCTATATATGCTGTGTTACTTGAGAAGGAAAGTAGAAACAAAATACAACAAAAATGGAAGCTAAATAATAGATTCTAATTATCTTCTATCTTTCAGGAAATAGTCATTCTTTGGCTTAAGGGAAGGTAATGCACTGTGACTGGTTCCAGTACTCAGCTGACAGAAGCATTCAGAAAAGTGACAAAGTTCTGATTGTTTCCCTCGTTTTTCCAGCATATTTCAAGGAATATTGTGTTGGACCTTGCGTGTCTTGAGAAACCCAAAGCTTGTGCTGTCTTACAGCAGAGGCATTTACTGCTCAGTCAGTCCCCACTCACTCACACATCTCCCTACCCACAGTAAGGCAGGGAGGCCCCTGCAGCTGGCTCGGACAGATAGGCCTGTAAGATAGGCCATGTGGGAGCATTTAAAAGCCAGCGCTCTGCCTTTGCCATGGTGATGGCAGCCCTGGGTCCTTACCTGGAAGAGAGCTGTTCTAGAAAGGCACTGGACTCTCAGCAGATTTTCTTTGAGTGGCAGAGATCCTTAAGTAAGATGTTAAAAGTGGACTCTCTCAGGACTTAGCTTCACCAATTTATTTCCCCTCTTAAAAATTTTCCATCTTATTCTTACTATGGTTTGATTATACTACACCTTAAACATACCAAATGTGCCAATTATATACCACTGGCTACAATTGTTTCTTAATAGATCACAGGACCTGATGTGCACTAGATAATAAAATTCTTGTAAATGTTTGTGATCAGATCACCACCAAGTGTTTCAGGTCTCATGCTTCAGACTAATAAACTGTATAGATGATGCTGTCCAATAGAAGTATAATTAGCCACATACATGATTTAAAAGCTTTTAGTAGTCACATTAAAAAGTAAAAAGAAACAGTTGAAATATTTTTAATATATTCAACCTAATATGCCCCAAATATTTCAGTATGTGATCTGTATTAAAAATTACTGAGCCCTGGCCGGTTTGGCTCAGTGGTTAGAGCGTCAGCCCGCGGACTAAAGAGCTGCAGGTTCAGTTCCAGTCAAGGGCATGTACCTCAGTTACGGTTTGTCCCCAGCCCTGGTTGGGGTAGTGCGGGAGGCAGCCACTCGATGTTTCTCCTTCCCCTCACCCCCACTCTATCTGAAGATATTTGAGAAGGTATCCTCAGGTAAAGATTAAAAAAAAAATTATTGAGATATTTTCTGTTTTCTCATACCAAGTCTTTGAAATACAGTATATAAATTGTATTTACAGTACATTTCAGTTTATACTTGCCACACTTAAAATGCTCAAATACCCACATATGGATGGTGGCCACCATGTTGGATGGGACAGGTGTAGGATGAGACTGCCAGGTTACCTGGTTTCCAAAGAATTAAACACAATTCTCGATACCCCTAGACTTGACTTGGCAGTTGCATGCCTTGAACTACAGTATAATTAGAAACGTTTTACTCTTTGTATAGTTGAATACAACTACAACTTGCTGCCATATTTGATACGTAAATAATAAATACATAAAAAGCAGATTTAGTTGATGTGAACATCATATATAGCTAGCTGTCCTTGTTAGAAGATTCCCTAATCTGCCATTTACTTAGCACCTTCAGGATTCACAGGTATTTATTTTTTATTTATTTATTTTTATCCTCACCTGAGGACATCTTTCCATTTTTTGTTCAGATAGAGTGGGAGGGAGAGAGAAAGAGAGAAACATCAACATGAAAGGGACACATTGAGTGGCTGGCTGCCTCCCACATGACCCAGCCAGGGCCGGGGACAAACTGCAACCGAGGTACATACCCTTAGCAGGAACCGAACCCAGGTCTCTCTGGACCGCAGGCCGACGCTTTAACCGCTGAGCCAAACTGGTAAGGTCAGGATTCGGAGATATTTAAATGATTAACTTGCCAATCAGAAAATTGGACATTCTGAAGAATTAAATCAGAAACTTGAGCCCTGGCCAGTTTGGCTCAGCGGTTAGAGCGTCGGCCTGCGGTCCGGAGAGACCTGGGTTTGGTTCCCGCTAAGGGCACATACTTCGGTTGCAGTTTGTCCCCAGCCCTGGTTGGTCGTGCGGGTGGCAGCCACTCAATGTGTCCCTTCACGTCGATGTTTCTCTCTCTCTCTTCCTCTCTCTTCCTCCCACTCTATCTGAACAAAAAATGGAAAAATATCCTCGGGTGAGGATAAAAAAAAAAAAAGAAACTTGAAACCCTTATTCCTATTGAGTTGCTGTACCATGTACATGCTCTTACCTTTTCATGTGGCTCTGCCTCCCAAACTGGCAGGCAGGAAAACAGGGATAACAGTGAATTTTTAAAAATCGGCATAGTGGCCCTGGCTGGTTTGGCTCAGCAGTTAGAACGTCGGCCCACAGGCCAATGAGTCATGGGTTCGATTCCAGTCAAGGGCATATACCTCGGTTGCGGTTTGTCCCTGACCCTGGTCAGGTCGTGTGGGAGGCAACCAGCGATGTGGCTCTATCACATTGATGTTTCTCTCTCTCTGCCTCCCACTCTATCTGATGATAAATGAAAAATATCCTCGAGTGAGGAATAATAATTTAAAAAATCAACATAGTGAATAGTGACAGCCAGGGATACTATCACCTTATAGTCTGAAAATGTGCTGCAGAACTAGTCTGGATGTTTCTTACTATAGAGGAAGTGAATTGTTTGGGAAGAAGGAAACCACATTCCCTTTAAACTCTGGTCCTTGGTCTACACATGGAAACAAAGTGTAGTGACTGGTTAATTAAAGGACCTATAATATTGTCCAACTTTCTTGGTAATTAAAATCTGATAAAGAAGAGTTCTCCAAACCTGCCAAGATACATTTCGACAGTGCAAATTTAATCCTCTTAATAACATTTCTGTAATCAGTGCAAGCAATATGGTATCCACATGTTGTACTTGATATTTTTTTCTCCCCTTCTGCTTTTGGACATGTTAATACTAGACTTCAGCTAAATCAGAGGAAAATAACCCGGACTTAACCAAAATAAGGCCAGTTTTGCAGGTAAAAAAAAAATCATTACTATCTTTGGCAATTCAAATTCAGGCTCAGAATGCCCTGATTTTGATCCCAGTAAGGAGGACAATAGATTGCATTACTGTAATCCCAGAATATCTCAAAGAAACTTGGACCATCTATCCAAATTACTAGGTTTTAGTTGGGGAAACAAGTTAGAAAGGAAGAAGTGAGTTCAAAGTCAGTATCTGTTCCTCACTAGATGAGAGATTCAAGTCCTTCCTAAGGACTCATTTACACGCTTTTATTGAGCACCAGCTTATGCCAGAAAGCTTCAGATTTCAGGAGTTCAGATATTTAGTATATTAGTTTCTCCCATGACAAATTACCACAGTTTTGGTGGCTAGAGCAAATTTATTATAGTTCTGGATGCCAGAAGTACAAATACAAAAGGTAGGTTTTCTCTGCAGGCTCTGAAGATCTGTTGCACGTCTCAAAGTTTGTTAGCTTGTAGAAATGTAACTCCAGTCCCTTCCTGTGTCTTGTGCGTCTCCACTTCTCCCTGTGTCGTCTTCAACTGCATGTGACTGAATGACCTACGTAAAGGTCAGTTGTAGGGTTACCTTAGGAAACGCCAGATATATCTATCCTATCTCAGCAAATCGTTTGAATCTGTTCCAACAATGAACTCAAAACTCCAGCATTTCTTATAAAGCATGACCAAAATAATTTTGACCTGAAAAATGTTAAAGGGACTCATTCTTGCAGCCAAGGATAAACGTCAGATGTGCTCTTGCAAATTGACTCAGAGTAGCACAGCTTCCTAGTATACTTTTGAAAATCACTGTGAAACTTAGCTAGGAAATGTACCATCAAGTAAGGAAGCAATGGCAATATGTGTTTTGTTTTGTTTTTTTTAATATGTTCATATAGATTTTTTTTTTTGAGAAGAAGGGAGAGAGATGGAAACCTTGCTATGTATTGGCTGCATACTGCACGCCCCCTGCTGGGGATCAAGCCCGCAACCAGGCATGTGCCCGACCAGGAGTCGTACTGGGTCCTCTCAATCCATGGGACGATGCTCAGTCCACTGAACCACACAGGCTGGGCAGCAATGTTTTTTAAAAGCGGGTGAGTAAATGGGAACAAACCTGCAGCCAATGTTTCAAATGTACTGTTTGATTCACGATGGTTCTTCTGTTGAATCAAATATGAATTAAAAAAAAAAAAGGTAAGTGAAAGAAGCTAGACAGAAGGCCACATACTGTATGACTCTATGTAAAATGTCAAAAGCAAATCTGTAAAGACAGATAAGTAGTTGACTAGGGCTGAGGGAATAGGAGGGTTGGGGTGACAGCTAAGGAGTGGGGGGTTTCTTGGGGGTGTAATGAACACATTTTGAAATTGTGATAGAAGCACAA